GCTCAGAGTAAATAGTTGTCAGTGAGAGACCAGGGAAGATGGATCAAATATTTGAAAAAAATCCACTGGGGGAGTGTTATGTAGGCAATCTAGAAAAAGCTCTGAATATATCCTAAAATGATCAGAGGCCAAGAGAATGTTAGAGCAAAGTGTTGTTATACATACTAATTCTGTTTTCAGTCTTTTGCTCTCTGCTTGATAATCATAGAGGGTCATCATTAGAGACAGACTGTGGGTACAAATTCTTGCCCTCCAGGCATTACGGTCACTCTTGTAACCCACTGCTACTGGACCACTCTATTTTTCTGCTTGTTTTTCATCTGGCTCTTAACTTTCAACTGAGGAAAACAGAAATGAAAAAGATCAAGGCTCTGAAGAGACTGTGAGACATCCCGTTGCATGTAGCATGCTTCTATTTACAAAAACTATGAAATTTAGGAAAATTTTATTAACTAGATGACCTTCATTATTCTGCAACTTTATCTCTCACAGTTGTAATGTAAAAAAGATAGAATCAATCCAATGTATTTAAAGATACATTGAGATGCATATTGATTTAATAGTTGTAATTTTTAAAAAATCCTTCCAGAGGAGTAAAGGAGAACTTAGAACAACCTAATAGACATGGTAGGAAGCAACCTCCAGTGGTAACAGAAGCAGATCTGAATTCACAAGACAGACTCTCCTTTTACTTCAGTATGCTTCTATTTATTATGCATCTTCCGAGGTTCAGAAAACTCCTCTCAACATACCTCTCATACCTCATACCTCTCAACTCCTCTTGCACCTACTGGTAAGTGCACTGAAACGCAATATACCATTTCTAGTGCCAATACAACTGTGATTAAATTAATCTTATCAAAAAATATAACACTAAATCAACTTTTGCTGCAAAAATAAAAGCAAATCATGTTGTGTGTCAAGTTACCAAGTCATATGTAACAATTTTTACTGCCATAGACCTCTCCTTATCTTCCTATTCCTGAAAAATGTAGCTTTTTCTAGAAAATACTTCATACTTCTAATAAAGGAAAAAAAATATTATACAGCTGACCTCTGGGATTCTTTATTAGTTTTCCCTCAATTCCTCTGCTTCCTTATATCTACACTACAAATTCCTAACCACATACTTTTGGCATGCTTTTTGTTTAAAAGAAATAACATACTTCTAATCCAGATGCTAAGATTTGCCTTGTTTACTCAGGTATTTAAGAAACAAATTTCAAAGTCTGAGCCAAAGAAGATGAGTAAGATCAACCTTCTACAATAATGGAAATGTGCAGCTTGTCAACACTATTAGGTACTATCACTCAGAATATACACCCTACTGAGTCCCAGTTTTCAGAGTCTGTAGCAGTAATGATTGACCTCAAAGAAACCACTTGATTTACATCAGGGATTTGGGGTTTTAAGATTATCTTTGTACAGCTTCAAAAAGCATCTACAAACTGACACTCAATTCATTTTGCCAGGTGTTAATATTTGTTCATTTTCAAATAAAATCCTTTAATAAATTCACTGCTGTTAAGTTTTCTGGTTGAGAAAAACAAAAACAAAAAAAATTCCCTGGTTCCCAGGATATTTGTGTTGTACAAATACTGTACCCGTATTTCTTTTCTATTACTGTCACTTAATATAGAGGGGGGAAAAAACAATGGATGTGGTAAGCTATAATTTTGTTTTTCTTAAAGTACTCCCAATTCACTAAAAAAAAAAAATAATAAAAAAAATCTGAATGCCCCACAGTCCTTCTGTGCATTGAATGACAAGGAATCAACAAGCCGCAATTTGCAACTTCAATATATTTTGATCATCACGGTATTTGAAAATCCTTTTCTTTCAATTTCTGATACACATGCAAGGTCACCAATGCAAGCCATGAAGAAGAATTTCTTCCACATGTAGAATCTGAGAAAACTATCCTATGTTGTCTCTGACACTGACCACCACAACAGGAAGAATGTGGTGGAAGGGAAACATAAGTAGTACTAAGTCATCCTTTCTTTCCCTGCTTCACTCTTCCAAATTGAGGAAGGTAATCCACAGTCTGTTTCTCTTCAAGTGTTAGAATAAATAGGTGCTCTTTCACTTCATCAGTCTCCCTCCCATCTAAATTCATCACATAGATAACAGTAGCCACCTAACATTAATGCAAACCTAGTTTGTAGGAAACACCTCCGTCTAGCAGCATTTTTGCCACTCAATATGCCAGTGGATAAGTTGCCGGTAAGAAATACGTGTTTCTATACATGTTGCACTGTCGTACCCTCTGCATTAACAACCAACTTCTCTCTGCTTGCTTGCAGTCAGCTGCATTTCTGTTGTCATCCTGAGTTAGGCTTATCTATTAGCCACTTCAAAAAAATGCACAAGGCATGGGGTTTTCTTGTTTGGTTGGTTTTTTTTTCTTTCATTTTCATTTTCTTTTATATCATTATTGAACTAAGACTCAAAAGTTTTCACTTTGTTGCTAACAAATGCCTATTTTAATCAAGCCCCAGACAAAGCGGCCCACAAATGCATTTATTATTAAAACAAACTTGTTTAAAAATTCAAATCTTAGCTTATTAAAAAATATAATAAAGACTTTTATGTAGTTTAGTATGCAAGAGTTAGATTGCTTGACCTCTCTTTTAATGACTTAATTAGCTGTACTAAAGCCCAGCTGGGCCTCTGCTGACAACATAGCTAGATATTTCAATCAGGCAGTGTTATGGAGAATAAGTAATAAATGCTACCTTGTCGCCATACAGTCCCAAACCAGAGTGCATGCTGGTAATGCTAAATTTGATCAGTATGCCTCATATTTCAATTAGTCGTGGTCTGAATCACTAAAACTGTGTAATGTGTATGAATTCCTGACATCAGATACAGAGCTACAGGCTCCCACAGTTAGAACCCATTGAGTTTGCTTTTATTAGCAGCCAATTAATGGCCAAAATCTGCATTGCTTTTAAAATTTATAACCTCTATTCCAGCTGCATCCATGGCTCCTAGTATACTGTATACAATCAGATCCATATCACTGTCGCAAGTCAAACAGCTGCAAACTGTATTCTGTCTGCAGAACTGAAAAATCCTTCCATACAGAAGCTTTTTTTTAACCTCTTAGAAGTTCTTTTCAAAGCCCAGCAGCACTAGTCACTTTGTGACAATGAGCGATTTAATACAGAAAGAAAGAAATCTACACCAAGGTAACCTCTTGGGATGTGCTAGGTTTTCAAACGAATGAAACCCTATCACTTTGGCATAGCACAAGGGCAAGCAAAGCCATTTCTCCTGACCAAGGCTAAGAAAATATAAACATATAAAACCCGACCCTCGTTGAAAATTAACCCGTTGAAGGCTAGAGATTCATTGAAAGATCTCACGAATACAGAGATTAATATTTTAAACCATCTCTCACAAATTTGTAACACTGGAAATTGTAATACAGAGTACAGCAATCCTTACAAGATTATTGCTCATGCCTTTTCCCTCCCAAATGATTTTATGAATACTTGAAGATTTCTAGACTTTATTCTTCGGAATGAGTCTCTATTACTGTTATATGATATTGCAGGAAATTTTGATGTGATCAGATTCAGACATAAAGCATAGTAGCTTTACATACTGGTAATACCAGGTCATAAAGCCATATGATAAAGGCATATTTGACATCTGAAATTATGCTATTACTTTTTAAAAGTCATTTACCATATATAAAAATGTACAGGCTTGCAACATTTTTGGACATCTAATATTCCAGTGTTATCTGACACAAACTGTGAATGTTTCTGTTCTTTCCCCTCTATCTAAGCCACTGACCAAGTGAAGAAAGAGGAAAGGAGAACAGGAAAATAATAATAATAAAAAACAAACAAACAAACAAACAAAAAAAAAAAAAAAAAAAAAAAAAGGAAGAAAAGGCCTGCATTTAAAATTCGGTGATATGGTAGTGAACAACAGAAAAAAATATTCACCTGGTTAAGTGCCTCAGTTTTATACATGGGAGTGTGAAAAAGCACTTCTGCAACAGTAATACACGGTAATAAAAATGTTGTGCTTGGATAATACAAACTGCTGTCATGGCTATTTAAAAGACAATAAAATCCTATTTTATAAAATTCAACCACTAATAGCCAGCATTCTTTCTAACTGCTTAAATACTGCAGTAAGACTCCTAATGCCACTGTGAAATCATAAGCTAGTACTTCAAAGGTGTTCTATCTGTTACAAATTTAATCTTCCCTGGTATGTCACAACTCATTTCATCCCAGAAGCTTTGAGATGCAGCATAGCAGCATTTTTGTTGTCCTAGGCAACATGAACCAAACTGTTAAATACCTGTCTGATGCCCCCAGAATGATCGCAATAGTATTACTTACAGGATTTACAATAATGGCTGTCATGAAAAATTGAAATTCGTCTGTTCCGCTTAATTAAGGAAAAAAAATTCAGCGTGTTTGATTCTTCTCAGTGCTTATGAAATATGTTGGAAACGTTTTATGCTTCTAATTAGATAAAAAAAACAACCAACCTAAAAACATTTCAATGAACTAAAATAATTACACAATAGGATATTTATTCTAAAGCTCACTCGTCTCCTGCCAAAGCCAGTAGAGATGGACAGAACGCAGGTGATAATTGACACAGGTGTGAAACTGGTGTGAAAGAGGGGTGACAGTCACACCGGGGCATAACATGGGATTTTTCTCCCTGTGTTATATCTATTTTTACAGATAAGCAGGTCTATGCAGGACATTCCCAGACTGGCACCTCTTTTTCCCCTGAGAGTGAGTAACCCATATTTTAGGGTTATTCATTTGAAATTAAGAAACAAAGCAGAGTAGTAAAAACACGAAAATAAATTGAATTAGGATTGTACGTGATTGGCTTAATTGTCTCCCACGTATGCTCATGTTACGGCTTTCTGAACGTCTGGGCAAAATAGGCTTTCAAAAGACATGAAAGAAATCATTTCTTTTAACACACAATGTAGACAGACATCTCACAAATACCTGGGATCCTCTCAGAATGCCGTCCGTTCACACTGTGAAAGATCTCCCTAGGAGAGATGGGGCTTACTTCGAAATGAACTGTTTGCTTCAAGTCTCCCAGATAGGTGCTGCCAGCTGAAATGGAAATAGATCATTTTCAAAGAAAAATAGAGAGGAAAAAAAAGCACAAAAGCACAGGGCTCTACCAAGTTTAGGCAGGATAAACACATGTGTTTTAGACTACTTAGTTGTAACCAAGAGGGATCCCTTTGATTTTTGAATTTTTACACACATTTCAGATAAAATCAGGAAGGAAAAAAATCCAGCACTCCAGAACATCAAGTGGATTTGTGACTCTCTCTGGAGGACTCTGGGTCCTTACAAACATATGAATGGATTATGCTGATTTTATACATATTTAATCATTGTAATCCACATGTTTTGATATATGATCTGCAACCCATATTACAAATCGAAGAAATTTATCCACTTCATAACACCTCTATGTCATAAACAAAATATTTCATTTAGTAAATAAAAACTTGGCTGAAAAAAAAAAAAAAAAGACTTCTACAAGTACTTTTCGGCTTTGGAATTTCAGGGACCAATTGAACAAAATAATAGACTGAAAATGGATTTTTTGGATATAAGTTTGTAAGTGTAAAATGACAGTGTTGGTTTGTTTATGCTTTTACTGTCTTATTCTTAGTATTTTAAAGCATTATTTATTTTTTTAAATAAAAACGTACATGGATCTTTCCTCTGTATCTAAAGCTCTGAAATATGTTTCATTACGCAGTTGATCAGGCTTAGATTATGAGGAGGTTTTAGCTCTGCTAATTCTGCTATTGTATAAGGAATAATCAATTGCTGTTTTCCTACTCATCTGATTTCCTAAAAGCCCATTACAGGTTGTATAATCTAAACAATACATACAGGGACACAAAAAAGAAAAGAGAAAAAAAAAGGGGGGGGGAAAAACAGCCCAATAAGTCTGAAATAAAAGATCATGCATAAGAATAAATACACACTAAAAGGAGCAGTAAGAGCTCAAAGACAATTATGAAATAAAAATGCAGAAGCTCTAGAAGATATTTTTGAAAGCCCAACAGCAGTGTCAGCCATGCTCTGATGCCTACCAGTATAAAGTGATCTGAGTGGAAGAAAGGAATCCCTTTCTTCTGGACAACACAAAAAACTTTTATAAACATATCATTGGAAAATAGCCTCAACAATCAAGAATGGAAAAGATAACAATGCCAACATTAAAAAAAAAAAAACCAACGTATTTTTTAAAAAATATAGCCAGAAGGGCAGTATGCGATGTACACAGTCAATAGTGATGTCCATGTGCAACTCAATCCTGGCTTGACTTTACTCTGCCATTCATGAATTATGCAGTCCTCACTAACTCAGAGAAATGAGAGTGAATTACGCTGCCCACTATCACATATTATCTCTCTGGATACACACACTTTAACACTCAGGTTTAAGTACATTTGTATTTTGTTGTGACCACTCTGAAACTTAAATCCACTCTGAGATTTTTGCTCTTACACATGTTCTATGAGTATATATACAAGTGAGCTCACCCATGTGAGTAAATCACAGGCACAGATGCTTGTAATTAAAACACTGAGACAAATATATAATAAACGGGGAATTTCACTGAATTTCATAAGAATAGTTCAATTCAACTGCTATCCACAAAAAGGTAAAAGAAACTTCATTAGTACTGCACAGTTCTTGGTCAGCTCTCTGTCCATTAAACCCTTTTTCCCTGCACCAGCAAAGATTAAATCCTTACTGGTATTTTTCCATATTTTTCTATATTTTTAGCAGGACCCAGTCTTTCCCAGCTCAGCCCTAGCAGTGGCATCGAGCATTTCATTATGCATTTTGTTATATCTGCTCTTACAAGGCTGATTCCATTACCATTTTACAAGTGACTTTTTAATTACTGCTACATCTAAGACGAGATTTGGAATTTAAAAACATGCGCACATGGAGTTAGGCTGTTCTTTGATTATTAAAACCTTAAGTTCATACTACACGAGTCAGATGGGACTGTAGCGATCCTCCAAGGATGGCGGGTCTGTGAGCCATGGTTGGGGCTCCACTGAGATCCCATGCAGTCAGGGTACAGCTCCTCAGGCTGTTGGGCGAGGCCCCCGATTCAGGGAAGAAACTTAAAAGAGGAAATGTACCATCTGCAGACTTTCTGAAGTGCCTTGTCCATTAAAATGCAATTCCAGTATGTGTTGTGGATAATTACTCTTTATTTGCTGCACAATAGGGATTGCTGGTGTTTAAATTATCCCTAGAATGTACAGAATTGTGCTTTTTGAAGTAATCCTCTGCAATAAAACAGAATGCATTTTGTCAGATAGCTGGGTTTTTAGCTGTGCTGTAATAAAGGTGCTTAAAAACATAGCCTCGGGCAACTAAAGCAGGGTTTTGCTTCTTCAGGAAAACCAAAGTAAAATAAAAATTTTCCCACACTGCACAATCTAGTCATTAATTTTACTGTAGGCAGCCAGACATGCATGCCAATGTTTGAGTAAACTCATGTTTTACCCATTATATTATCTGCAACTGAAGATAACTCTTAGTGAATATTCAACTTTTAATTTCAGGTTTTATATCCAGATGAAACACAGAATCATTTCAAATCTCTTCAACCTATTATGTTAAAGCCAGCAGACGGTGGTAAATATTTTCCTTAATTTTGACAGACATGCAAATATATATATAAATTCACATTACACTTTTTACTATTTATACATATAAGAAAACAGAAAAAAAATCTCCCTACTGTTGCGTTACATAGAGGATTTTTTAAAAATTAAAAGCTGTGTTCTACATTCTAGATAGTAAAACAGAAACCGTGTTCTAAATCCTGCCCTATTCCTCTAAGGAGTTATTATCATAATATATGTGTGTATTTTGAACAACCAGCTGAGGAATAATGAAGCACTTACCAACAAAAAGTGCAGTTCATGCAAACACGTGCTTAAATATCTACATAAACACATAGATCTAAAAGACTCTGTTATATTTAGACTGTCGTCATTAAACAAAAATTTCTCTGCAGATGTCTTGCTTGGTATATACTCTGACAAACAAAGCCTTCCAGTGGGAAAAAAACACAGAAACAAGCAGAAAAATCTGAGTCTGCAGAAATATCTACAGTAAGAATCAATTTAACAACCAAGTGGAAAGATGTGATAACTCTTCTACATGCTACACATGAAAAATTATCTCAGCTGTGACCGAGAAAGTATCAGTTTAACAGATGTAAACATACAACATAGGTGCCATGTGTTTGTCCCTAATATATACAAGTTTGATAGAGGTACCCTATTTCCATACAAATATTTCCTAAGCACCAACTGTCTCATATTTGAGAACAATTTCAGACAAACAGAACATTCCATTATTATACAGCATTTTCACTTACATCATAAATGAGGTGTGACCAGCAGAAGGCAGTGTTACAATAAATATATAAGCTACTGCTCATCTACAAGCCTGTTTGATACTGAGATTTCGAGTTTTCCTAACTTTTCACAATACAACCACTGTTTTCCCTAGGCACTTAGTATGAAAACCATCCTCTCAATGTAAATAAACATACAGAAGTACTTAAAATACTTCAGAAACCATTTCTTTTGCACCACGCTCCTCTTAATTTAAAAGTTAACCTCTTTGACTTTCAGTACCTTGCATTTTCAGCTTTTTAAGTTCATCAGAGAACTGTGTTCCCACTTACCATTTCAACACAGCATTTTGCTGAGCTGTGTCCTCATGAACCAGGGCTCACACAGTGTAGAGGAGACGGGCATTGCCTCCACAGCAGTTTGGCTTACATAATTCAGTCAAAAAAAAAAAAAAAAAAAAAGACTTCTAACATCATTTCTTATTAACCTTTAGTGGTTTGCACATCATTTGGAGAACAGTGTCTGACACCTTCTTAGTGAAACCACTGTAGGCATAATAGAACATACTGTTCATTAAGTGTCAGTCCAATGTTTAAGTAGTAATGTCATTTAGATGTGTTAGTATACAAAATCTGTTGGATACCTCTTCAAGTTTACAAAATCCATGTTAAAGGAGCCAGGACTGCAAAAAACAATGTTACAGCATATGTTTGGATTTTTGTATTTCAAAGTCCTGACTACTTTATCTGAATTACAGATTTAGAGCTTTGTTATGTGTGATAGTTATGATAATATGATCACTAAAGGCACAGAGACAGGGAGACTCAAATCCCTTTGAAAATCCCTTTCTCTATTTCCTACAGCTGCTGCTGGAGTTTAATATCTGATAGAATGATGAAAAAGAACAGGCCAAACTCCAGTTTTAATAAAAATTTTAACAGGTCTACATATAGTTATGAAAAATGTTATTTGCAATGCCAATCTTTAATAAAATTTTCTTAAACCAAAGAAAATTCCCTGTGGGGAATCTGTTATGAATGTGTTTTTCATATGTACTATTTAAGGCTGTTTAAAGGTTATGAAAGTGGCTGGTAAAATAAGTTCTATCACAGCACAACAAAATCCTACGTGCGGTCTCACTTTCGCATTTAATCAAGTAAGTAAGCAAGTCCTTCAGTTTTTTTCTGTTTGTTCCAAAACAAACGGTTTCAGCTTCCATGAAACCTTTTCTCCAAATTAACGGTAATAATTCTTAGCATATGCATGAACTACACAAATTTAACAAGAAAGCGTTGGTTTTGAGAACTGTTTGCAACCACAATTGTCAAAACTCACATTGCTTCATCAAGCAGTATTTTCTGCCACTATCAGCTGGGGGTATGCTTTAATAATACTTACATATTTGAATAGGTACATGAAGAGAAAGCCAACGTTAAAAGCAGAGCAGAACATCGCATCCAAACTTTGCAACCTGGGTAAACACTGTGCAGCTTACATAAGTGCTTAATGAGTGTTCTTACTGTGTTAAACCCTTGTTTCTCACAATAATACTACTGAAGTTTTTACTTGTTATTTATGCCTCTCCTTCTAAGCAGAATTTTTGTAGAAAACATGTACTGGAAATCAAGTTGTTCTTTCATAAAGCAGATAAAACATTTAAAAAAAACAAAACAAAACAAAACAAAAAAAAACAAA